CTCCCTCCTCCCCTCCTTCCCTCCATCCCTCCTCCCTCCCCTCCCTTCATCCCTCCCTTCCTCCTCCCTCTATCCCTCTATCCCTCCTCCTTCCTCCTTTCATCCCTCCTCCCTCCATCCCTCCTCCCTTCATCCCTCCTCCCTCCATCTCTCCCTCCCCAGCGCCGAGCGTGGCGGGACCGGGACCGGGACCAGGTCCGGGACCGGGTTCGGGACCGGGTCGGACCAGGACCGGCTCAGGACCGGGTCGGGCCAGGTCCGGGCAGTCCGGGGCTCCTCTGGAAGTTTGTGCGGGCCGGGAGCCGCAGCGCCCGCGCGGGGGCTCCGCGCTGGGGCCGAGGGCTCCGCAGCCGCCGCTATGAAAGGTGAGGCCGGGGCGGCCTCGGGATCGGGGGGATCCTGGGCGGGATGCGCTCCGTGATGTCCCTCTGCTGCTCTGGGATATGGGTTCCCACTGCTCCGCATGCCGGAGCCATCCCGGAGCTCATCCCTGCCTTGTCCCGGAGAGCCTCGCTCCCTTCGTCCCGGAGCCTTTCGCTCCCTTCATCCCGGAGCGCTTTGCTCCGTTCCCGGAGCCTTTCGCTCCCTCGCTCCGGAGCATGGGGCTCCTCACGACCTCCTGCCCGTCCAAGGGGCAGTCGCAGATCCCACCGCATGGAAAAGCCCAAACTGGGATAGGGGAGGGACAGGAGCCCCCAGTTCCTGCTGCGGCTCCATAAGGGAGTGGGGGCCAAGCTGGCGAGGCCGAAGGAGCAGCGGGATCCACATGGGGCAGGACCGGGGCACTGGGTGGGTTTTGGCATCCATGTGGGTTTGGGGCTGAAACGGAGGGATCCGACGGCTTGGGAATGAGATTGGGGCAGGATGAAGTAAGCCCAGAGCCCGATTCCAGACCCCACTTGGAGAGGCTGGAGCTCAGCTCACAGGGAGCTTGGGGCAGCTCGTGGGGGATTTAGCCAGGTTTTCCTAAGGAGGCAGGATATCCCCCCCATCCTCCACTTTCCATGCCACTTGCACTGTTGCCGGTAACAGTTTTGAGGCTGGAAACATGGGATTCAGGACCCTCCCTCGCTTGCTTGCAGCAGACGAGCTCATCGGAGGCGAGGAAGAGGAGATGCCATCCTTCTTCTCCAGGGTGAACGGTAAAGGCCGAGGCCCCCGCGTCGCCCGCGGCTCCGGCCGTGCCGGTGCCAGGGCCCCATCCCTCCCTCCCGGCCCCAGGCAGGAGCCGCCCGGGCTGCCGCCGCTGCCGGAGGGACCTGGCGCCGCGCGCG